TAGATAGATAGATAGATAGATAGATAGATAGATAGATAGATAGATAGTGAGAGAGAGAGAGAGAGAGAGATAGATAGATAGATAGATAGACAGACAGACAGACAGACAGGCAGGCAGGCAGGCAGGCAGGCAGGCAGGCAGACAGACAGACAGATAGATAGATAGACAGACCCATAAAGTGTTTGACTCTAAATCTGTTCTAACCGTGTATTTTTCTACAAGTTCAATTATAGTACAGTGTATTTTATTGTTGACACAGTTTATGGCTTTTGAAAAACTTGGTTCTCAAACTCTCATGCATGCCTGTCAGCACTCCAAGCCAAATATGCAACAAACAACAATAACATGACAAAACCCATTTAAATCAAACAGCAACACTGTGCGGAGTATTGCTCCCATTTTCCTGACTCCATCCAGTAAACATCCCAGCATGCAGTTCCTAAGGTGCTGTAGGATGTCAGATCTATAACCAACAGGTATATTCAAAAATGCATGTTCAGCCTCTTTGCCAGGAAGTGGATGTGCCAGCCATGACAAAAAGTTCACTGAGACAGCAAGTTTATTTAACGTAGTTATTTTTTATGGATGATTGGTAGGCTTCTTTCCTCACAAAGCTACATGAGAGCCTTACTGCTTGTTTGACTCTTTTTAAATGTGTCCTAGATTTGCCATCAGGGAATTATTCCGCAATTCATCAAACTTCTCCTGTTTGTTCATAAATTATCAACCCACTGTGTGAGTTTCAGTATATGTGAATCTGGTGGAGTCTCATAAAAAGTAGATCATCTTATCCAGAGTCAAAATATGAATTATGTATCCAAATGTTACTTCAATGTCCAAATGTTCATATTTTAATTTGTTCTATATTGTTGACCTGTTTCTGCTATTTTCTGGAATGTGGAAGAGCAATGCACCATTTATCCAAATTTAAATTACTTTATAATCAAACATTAGTAGCACTTTTTAGTGAGGTATTTTTTATCCCATCAATGAATCCAATTAAGAATAATTTCTACAGTTTTATCTTTGTTATTCATGCTTTCTTAGAGCACAGTTTATCTCTGCTGAGAAGCTGACACAAACGGTCTACTGAAAGCTTAATGTGCTATTTGATGTAACGAAATAAAGCTCTTCTATCATTTCGTAGATCTCGGCAAACATAAACAAATTGCAAATGTTTGAATTTATGTTATGTAAGTGCAATGTAGTAGGCCATCTTCATGAACAATTACTACTGACATAAACATAGCAACTGTTGGAAGTCAATAGAAAATATATATATAAAAAAAGTGTTTTTGAGGTTACTTGGATGTTTGCTTCTTTAGTCCAGAATATGAGGTTGTTTTTGCTCACATTGTCCCACCGTGATTCTTTAATGACCCCACCAGTGTTAAATCCATGGCAAACCATGTGAAATACAAAGCACACATTTTATACCAAGTATGCAATTGTGAAGTGGGTTCACTCTCAATTTGGATTTGCATGTTTTCTTATTCTTTATATTATATTCAATGTTACAAAAATGTGCCATAGATTGGTGTTAAATAAGTGACATGTATGAAAACGCTGTGTATTTGCTTGACCCAAATATGAACCAATCCTATTTGTGCTCTGTGACATATCTTACGCTACTTGACATAAAAGTAAATTAAAGTCTAAATCTTACCAACCACTGGGTGGAAAAAAAAACATCAGTAACCAGTGAGAGACAGAAGGGAACTGGTCATGTCATTTTACATTTACTGAATGGGATGCAGAATGTCTGCAAATAAGCTGTTCCATAAATTAACAGAATGAAAAAGACAAATACAACTTAAGGATGCAATCCTTAACAATCTGGCTTGTTGTCTCTATGCATCTCTCCTCTCTTGAGTGGCTGAGTGGTTAGAGCAGTCGTCCTCCAATGCAAGAGCTGGGGGTTCGATTCCACAAGCAGTCACATGTCCAAGTTTCCCTGGGCAAGACACTGAACCTCTCATTGCCTCTGATGTGTGTTCCATCAGTGTATTAATGTGGTAAAGCGCTGATTATTATTTGTATACATATCTAGTAGAGTGTTGTATGAATGGGTGAATGAGGGCACAGATTGTAGTGTAAAGTGCTTTGAGTATCTTGATTACATAGAAAGGTGCTATATAAGTACAGTCCATTTACCATTTAAGAATATTCACACACCCTCTTAACACTGATTGCCTCAAGCTTACATTATCTTACATTTCTGTAAACAAAAAAAATGTTCAAACTGCTCTGAGAGTATATCTAGAAATGCACTGTTGTAGGAAATGCTGATACAGGACTCCCCACTTCCCAGGCCTCTGGTAGAGGATCCTAAATTCAAGTGAAGTAGAACCCCCTAAATGTAAGAACAGGGCAAGCTGGGTGTGGTTATGTACTTTGTACATATATAGATATGTGACTAATACATAATAGCCATATAAAGTGCTTTATTGGCAAAATAACTGTATTTTTTTCTCTATCCCTTTCTTTGTCTTGTCTTCCCCCCATGCCTGGGTTCCTTCTTTTACTATTTTCCTACCCTTTCCTCTGCCGTCATGTCCTCTGTTGCCTCTCTCTGTACACTTACAGGACTATACATTGACAATGTACTTCCAGCAGGCCTGGCGAGACAAGCGGCTGTCCTACTCTGAGATTCCACTCAACCTGACCTTAGATAACCGGGTAGCAGACCAGCTCTGGGTCCCCGACACCTACTTCCTTAACGACAAGAAATCGTTTGTCCATGGTGTCACTGTGAAAAACAGAATGATCCGACTGCACCCAGATGGCACCGTACTATATGGACTGAGGTGAGATTTTATTCTCTTAGAATACCAATTTTTGGCTGCATGTCAAAGCCTTTGTGTTGCATGTTATTCATTGCTTACACTTTATGAGTAAAGTATCAGATAATTATGAACTCTTTTTAGTACCCCTGCAACATATCTTCTATTTTAAGCTCACACAAACAAGTCACAAGCAAACCATTTTTTGTAGCTTCTGTGTAACAATTAGTGAAGTGGACCAAGTCAGTAATTAGCTCATTAGAGCCACATGAAGAAAATTAATGATGTGAAGTGCTGCTGTGATGACCTACTTTTGTCCTCATTTGTAGGACATGTGAACATCACTGTCTAAAGCTTGGTAAAGTTGAATTAAACTCCTCGGCAAAGTCTCTGCATTTCTTTTCTGTTTGTTCCAACATATTCCAGGGATGTGCTGTGTAAATATCAGTTTGTTGGCTCATTAACAGTTCAGTTACAGCACATTTGACTCTTTAAATTATATGAGTACATGTCATCTGAGGCTGCTTAGATGTCACCGTTCTTTTTAATTTTTAGAACTGATTGCAAAAAAGGAGGCACAGTGTCACAGTTGGTATAGCTGCTGCCTCCTAGTGAGGTCGCCGGATCAATCCACGGCCAGGGGGGCCATTCTGGGTGGAGTTTGCATGTCCTCGCCGTGCATGCATGGACTTTCTTCGGGTACTCAGGTTGCTATTGTAAAAATCCCTTTGGCTTAAATATCCTATAAGTTGGACTAATTAAAGTTAATTTAGCACATTTCACTGATAACAAAAAAACAAATAATAATAATAGTAAGGTGACTTACTTATGCATGCACTATAATCATAGTCCCTATTAAACAGATTAATGATACACTGCTTGTTTGTACAAAGCAGTGGTTGGGTTTTCCTGACAACAAAAGCTTTCAATGATCAGAAAGCTCGGTCTCAGAAGAATATTCTTAGTTTGTTATTCCTAAAGTTTCCCCATGATATGACTTTTCAGCTCTTTCATAGATTTCAGACACAAAAATATTTGTTGTGTATAGAAAATGACTGGCCCTCTCTACTGAGGTTCACCTTCCCATAGCTAATAAGATGACAGTGCACTTCTCATGCCTCACTGATCTTATTCGCTCATTTTCAAACAGGTCTCTGATGTCTGAACTCAATTTAAAAAAGGTATTTAAATGCATAATATTCGAGTGGCTACCATGGTTGTGAACATTCTCTGTAATGGGGGAGTGAAAATATACTGTCAGATAATTAGAAATAAAACTGAGTGCATGGCTTGTGTATTTCAAACAGAGAACGTTTCTCTATTATGGTCTGTATTAAGCAGGGGAAACACAAGATGTGGGATGACACACAAGAAGGGTATAAAGGATCTGCTTACCGTATTTCTTTGTCCTATAGGTCGTGTTTTTTGCATAATTTGCATGCCCTGTGAGTTATAGGCCAAAGCAACATATTTGTGGATTATTTTTCCTTATTTATAAACCATTTTTTTGGCTGAGATATGCCCATTTTCATTCATTCCGACTGAAAATATTGAACACTAGCATTTTCAGTCGCTAGATGGCACTCGAGTAGTATGGCATGACGTTGTATCATGTAATAGGTAAAAGTGGCTATTAATGACACAATTGTCTTGCCAAAGTTTGCTACTGTCGTCCAGCTCACTTGGAGCAATCGTTAATTCAGTTTCATTTTGCTGCGCTGCTCAGGCAAAATGCAGCTAATTTGACCGTTGAAGTGCATTTTTTAAGTAAAAGTTCAGCTGAGACAAACCTTTGCTATAATGTCGAGCAAACAAATTATTGTTTTAGGTGCTTATGTTGTTAAATTTTGAAAAAAACCACGCTGCATTCCTCCTTCTTTTTTTCCTCCCTGTCTGCGCACTCCTGGAGCACCAAGGTAGCGAATACTTTTGAAACACAGCCTATTTTGACCATTAAAGTCCTTTTATTAAGCATGTTAGACTGAGACAGACGTTTACTATAATTTCGAGCAAACAAATAATTGTTTTTAGGTGCTTATCTTGTTAAATTTCAAAGAAATGCATTGCGGCTCGTCCCTCTGCGCGTGCCCGCTTCCACAAATCGGGTTTAGAAATGCAGCTGATTTGACCGTCAAAGTGCATTTATTAGGCAAAGTTAAACTGAGACACACCTTTGCTATAATTTCAAGCAAACAAATAATTGTTTTAAAGTGTTAATCTTGTTAAATTCACGTTAAAGTCCTCGCGTGCAAATTCCCGCAGCCGCCATTTGGCAACCCATCGATTTTTGGCACAACACCAGCCCACATTTCCAGTTTCGGCCCATATTTCCAGGTTGTCGGCGATGACGTGTAACAAAGCGACACATCAGTGGTGACGCATAATAGATGCGACGTATACGGCGAAGCGACGTATACAGCGAAGCGACGTATACGGCGAAGCGACGTATACGGCGAAGCGACGTATACGGCGAAGCGACGTATACGGCGAAGCGACGTATACGGCGAAGCGACGTATTAGGCGAAGCGACGTATTAGGCGAAGCGACGTATTAGGCGAAGCGACGTATACGACGTATATGGCGAAGCGACGTATATATGCATTTTTCCACTTTATTAGACATATTTTGACTGATGCAACTTATAGGGCAGATCGAAGTGTACAGCAGAAAATACGGTACTTTTGAAAGGGTTTTGGATTTTGCTGCAAAAACTGTTTGAGTGACCACTATCTGCACTCTTCAATAAACCACAATTTTTGCTATCAATCAGAGAACCAGTGTCTATTTTTTTTTCTTTTTTGATTTATGATCACCTGTTAAATAAAGACTGAGCTACAACAAAACAATTATGTGACCTATTGTTTTATGTGGTTTTCATCACCTTTCAGTTTTTTTATTTTTTATTTTACACTGATTTGTCGCAGTGTTCAGCATGCTTTGGCTGGCTTGAATCATTGCAAAATGTTTCATGCTATTCCAATCGGCTGACAACTAAAATGATAAAAGAATATTGGACTCCCTTGGTATGAAAAGATCTCCTTTAGAATTCAGTTTAAAATTGCAATGAAAAAGTGTGTCACACAACAGTTTTAACCAAAAGAAATATGCCCTCTTTGTTTTTATCTCTTCCTAAATTTACCTTCAACTCATTCTTCATTCACTGTGCCTCAGAGGTTGGAACTGTAAACCTTTTAACCACTTCATAATATCACAAAATATCTATTTCACAGTGTGGTAGAAAGACTCTAAAAGGCATCCCTGATCTCTGAAAAACACTGTACACCATGTACTTTTTTGTTGTAAAGCACTGTTAAGGGTTTCTACTGACTGTCTATGAATGTGGCATGAACTTTTTTCATACTTATGAGCTCAAGCACTGCGTGGCTAATGGAAAGTGAACAAAAAACATAAGGAAAGGAGCAACAACAGCAGATTGTGAGGGTCGATTTTAACAATGGAATTAAATTGGAAAAAATATTCATAACATTGTTATTTCATCAAGAAAATAAAATACTAATTTTAAATCCATCAAATGACCATGTGACCAACAGTTACTTGAAATACACACACACACACACACACACACACACACATATATATGTGTGTGTGTGTGTGTCATGATCAGCGGCCTCCGCTGGCCACCCATCTGCTCACTTCCCTGCCCCTTCATGACATGGCATGTTTTCTGCCCCTCTCCTTCATGTTTTGTTTATCCCTCAGCTCCTGTCATTGCTCGCATCTGCTCCTGTCAGTTAACAGTTCACCACACCCCCTCAGTCTATCACAGCAATCAGCCCTGATTCCACTCACCTGTTCAGCTCATGTAGCTCACCTGCTCTGCACCCTTTATAAACTCCATCCTCCCTCTCCACCGGTGCCAAATTATTACACCACTCATGATCCCTGATAGTGAAGCTTTCAATCATAGTATCTTGTATCCTCACCTGTTTTTGGACTCCTTGACTTGACTACCCCTCTTGGATTTGCCTGCATATCTGACCTCAGTAATGACCTCCTCTTCTGCCTATGATCACGGATCACACTTTTGGATTACCTTTGTACCACTGACTCCCTGTGTTTGACCCCTGCTTTGCCCTTTGGACCATAAACCTGCATTGCCTCATTGTTCACAGCATTAAAGGGCTCCTTTTGCAGCTGCTTTCCCACCAGTTCATCTCTTTAAAAAAAATCTGACAGGTGGCTCTCACCCCACCTGCCTGCAAAGACCTGTTACTGAAATTGGATCCTGAAACTCCAGCAGCATAATAAATAAAAACTGTTCTTGTTTTTGCACTCCTGTGTCTGGCTATTTTGAATCCAAATCCCTGGTTCGTGACAATATGCATATCTTCTTCTTTTGGCTGCTCCCCTCTTAAGGGGTTGCCACAGCAAATTAAGTCTCATGAAGACTTGGCAGTTATTTTTACGCCGGATGCCCTTTCTGACGCAACCTCAGACCACCGAGCTACCACAGCCCTGTGTGGAGCAGAGAGCTGCTATCTAGCACACCTGGAGGAGCAGATGGTGGGGTTTAAGGCCCATGCTCAAGTGCCCAGAGTGGGACGAATGAGGGTGGGGTCAGGTGTGGGTGCTTCACCTACCCCACCAAACATTTTTGATGTTGTCGGTACCGGGGCTTGAACCGACTATCTTCTGATCGCAGGCTCACCTTCTCTAACCTCTGTGCCACCACTCCCACATATATCATATATATATATTTCTTGAGGTCTGCAGTCATATAAACAGACTGCGAACAATGCGTCGTATATAGCAGGATTACACTGAACTGGTAGAAGCATCACATCACCTTTTACACTTAATGCCATAGGGGTAGAATAATTACGTTATTACACTTCCTAACTTGGGTCATGCAGTGTGTAAGTACAGCAGTCCCTCATTTGTTGTGGGGGTTTGGTTCCCATCCTCCCCTCAACAAGTGAAAAACCACGAAGAAGGGATATTTGTACAAGTAGTAGTAGTAATAGT